TGATAAACTGTTTTTCCCCTAGTGGTTTTTGGTTGTCTTTTAGTTGCTCATCTGTGTCTGGTGTCATTGCAATTTGTATTTTTAAAAACACTTATTATATACTTCATTTAAACCTCACTTTTGTCCCCAACAGGGACCCAAGGCAGCTTATGTCATTCTTCTGTCCTACAGTTTATCTTTATGTTAAGAGGCAGGATATTAACATTTAAGATAAATAAACACATACAATGTATACATTAGCTTTGTTGTGTTTTTCTGAACAGGTGTATCCTGAGCAAGGCCTCATAAAGGTTTGAGTGTTATTGAGAGGTGAGCCATCAGCACTGACCTTCAGTTTATTACTAGAATATATGCCCCGTGTTGTTATGTCGAATTAGTATTATATTGGCTATGCCTGCAGGCACTGGGAGAACAATTCAGTTTGCACACTAAATATCAGTTGCTTTTTGAAATGTGGCCTTTCCCCCCTGCAAGCAAGTCCAAGGCAGTGTACAAACCGAAACCAATAAAAACCACAATAACTCATAATTAAGTCATCTTTTTAAAATTACTTAACAGTCCAAGAATAAACAGCAACATGCTTTGTACTTGAAAAGCAAAACAAAAAATGAGAGGCCATGGCTCATTGGTAGAGCATCTGGTATGCATGCAGGAGGTCCCAGTTTCAATCCCCACCATTTCCTGTTAAAAGAATGAGGTAGTAGATAATATGAAAAACATTAGTCTGAGACCCTGGAGAGCCACTGCCGGTCAGAGTAGACATCAATGACTGGTAGGTAGGCTTTTACTATAAGACAGCAGATGAATAGTGATAAAATACCTTTGAACAGCAGGAACATTTTCATTTGCAGCAAAAATGGCAGGACAGTGAACTTCACTGGGAGGTTAGTCTATAGCAGTGGTACCACTACTGAAAAGGCCCTGCTCCAGTACACATAAACCCTTTCCCCCCAGGAACATGTGTTACATTGGCTGGGCTTTTCTATTCATAGTAGGGCAGTGTGTCATATGAAGCTGATGGAAAGGCACCTCTGGAAGCACTGTGGTCTGCCCATCTAGAAGAAAGCAGAGTTCAGGAACAGCAAACGTCATTCTTCAGGGAGAGGTCATCTAGCACAGGTGATCCCAGCTCTGCCAAGTCATACGAGCTGCTCATCACCATTACTTCTGCACTGCCTTGGTTCTGGACTAACTGTAGCGAAGGGAGCAAGAGGAAATCTAGAATAAGGCATACTGTTTTGAAGGATAATAGGAAAAAAGGAGGCCTGGATGTATCTAATTTGAATTTATATTGCCACGCCAGCTGTTTAGAATATGTTTCATTGTGACCTTAGGACAGAACGTGCTTTTTTGGACAAGATGACATGAGTGGGTGAACTGAGTTCCATGTTGGGAATATGGGAAGGGGACCATCCAGATGAAGTAAAGAGCAGCTCCTTGTTCCCCAGAGCCTTGAAGCTGTGGGGTTCTTACAAGTTTGAAAGTCCAAACAAGTCATCATTTCCCTCAGTACTTGACCTCCTAAAGGGGTGAAGTATTGAGGAAGGGGGGTTGGGTCATTTTGAACAATTGAAAAGATAGTAGCTTGAATCCAGGCACCGCCTTGCATAAACAGAATGCACATCAACTTCTTTAATGGGGTGGTCTCTAATTTCTCTGACTCTCCTGCACACACACAGCTGCAGCCCACCCTCTGGTGCTGCATCAGACACCCTTGTAGAAGATTTCTGACCCTCAGGAGTAGCTTTGGTGAGTGGAGGAGGCTGCAGCAGGACAGAGAAGTCTAAGGAGCCCTTTTCCTTGTAGAACTGTTAGGATATAAATCTCAGGTGTTTTTCACATAGGCTTGTGTCGTTTCCCTTTGTCGTTGCCAATACATCACAGCAATGGGGGATTCCACGTTGTGTGTCTCCTCACATTTTCTGTGCCCCAGTCCCCCAGCAGCAGCCCTTCCAACTCCCTGCTCAGGGACTTCTTCAGTTTTCTTTTTAAACCATGGTTTGAATATTGCTGTAACATTATGTCTTATCAAGATATTTAAATTCCCAGCTTTCATTTAAAAAATGAGCCTCTAGCTCTTTCATTGCAGAGATATAAGGGGAAAGGCACATCTCCACAATGAAAGGGAGTAAAGACTTTAAAAAAATGAAAGGTGGAAATCTAGAGACTCTGATAAACATTATAATGTTATAACAATATTAAATGCTTAGATGATATGGGAATGGTGGGAAATGGCTGCTGTAGAAACTTGGGCAGGGGAAATGGTACTGATGTGAGTAACGCACAGTGAGTTGTCCTGGGAAATCCATAAATCCCTGTCCACATGGATGCCACTCCTCCAGCTTTGCTGCAGACTTTGCCCAAACATTGCAGCAAAGCAGGCTTGAGAAATTCTGCAGGAAAGACACCCTGAGGGTTTTCTTTGGACTTTTTCTTATATCAATTACTTCTGAAACTTAAAATTAGTGTGTCAGTTACCAAATGTAATTCTCATATTGATAGCTTAAAATTGGTAATTGCTGAAGACTGGAGGGCCTGGAGGGAGCTGGTCCATGGGGTCGCAAAGAGTCGGACTCGACTGTGCGACTGAACAACAACAACAAACCCTGTTTTTTAACAGATTTTTTTAAACTCCAAGGAGGTCCTCCAGTGGGAGTTGGAATGATGACTGCAAGGGCGGAGGCAGTAAAAGTGTGGGGAAAACTACCATGTGGACACTCCATTGCCACTGCAAATACAGACAGAGACATTCGCAGTGGCAGTAAGAAGGATCTTGGAAAACCCTTGCCATGTAGCTTTAGCAAAATTTGTTAAGCAGTAGTCTGCTGTGGCTTGAATATTTGCAAGTAAGACATTATTTAACAGATGGGTAAATAAGTGGTAAAGTATTCAGAAATAAAGCAGAATTTGTTAATCAATAAAAATAGGATATAAGGTTGGATCCAAAGTTGCACTTCCACAATTGGAAGCCTATTGACTTTTGAGAGACAAAGAGTCACTGGAGACATACATATACACACAAGTGCACACACACATACACATACATAAAATTATTAAAACAACCCTGATGATCAATGGGGTGATTTTGGTTCTTAGAATAATTAGTAGTTTATTAAGCATGCTATTTTACTACAGCCTTCAGAACTTCAAGATTGTGATATATCTACAACAACAGACAAACCTGATGAAGAGTACGCAAACGGAATGATTACTTGAACGCTGTTGTTTGTCTTGAGTTGTTTCTCTTTGTAACAAGTGTATTACATTAGGACCTTGAGTCTAAGATAAGACTTTATTACTGGCTGTAAATATTACAATAGGATATACTGAATGTACTGTTGAGCTTCATGGTTAATGCTTAAGCTGTATTCTTGTTAATTACTTAAAAATTACACTAAAATTTATACTTAGCATATATAAAAAAGATACAAATTGTAAAATTATGCACGGTGATTTAGTGTTTTACTTAGCTTACATACACCGTGGTCCGGTTTGTTATAACTAGCATAGAATAAAGCATGAATATGTGATGTATATATGCAAGGAGCCAGGGTCACTTCGGTTTAATGGATATAGTGCTGAAATATTCATACTATTCTCGCTATTTTCTACAAGGAAGTTTTTTTAAAAAAAAACTGAGACAGCAATAATATTTGAATCAGCCATGGGTCAGGAACAGTTGTTGATGAAGATGCAGTTTTCTCCCTGACAAAATTCATTTTATCAATGGTTTGAAATCTTTTTAGTTCTTTATAAATTCTTGATATCTGTAACAGGTTGTGTTACCCTAACTTTGCAACATCGACTGACTGAGCTGAAATTAAGAATTAAAAACTGCAAAATTTTCAAATTGGCCAGATTGATTGCATGTGCACATGTGGTGTACAGTGGCTAAAAGACAGAGCTTCCCCTCAGGAACTCCCTCCTTTAAATTTTATTTCTGCCATGAATACCCTAGGCGTCCCTGGACAATCTTTCACAGCCTCAATTGTCTCATCTGCAAAATGGGGATTATAATTCTGATTTATTGTTGATGTAACATTTACAGAAATATAGTACATGTGAAGTATGTTGAACACTTGAAAGCACTGTACATATGTTAAGTGTTAATACTATCTTAGAGACAAAATGATCTGTATAGAAGCATTTGGAAAGACTTGCAACCATTTATTAAGCACACTAAGTGTTGGTATAAACAAAGCGTTCATTTTCCTTGTTATAGTGTGATACGTGCCATTGCTTCTGGTTTTAAAATTTTTAAAATCTACATTGTAAGTTCCTTGGAACATGTCTCTGTGTTTGTTTCCTTATATTCTTCTGTCAAGAATATTTATGATGAGACATAATTAGTAAACATAGGGTTACGTTTTCCATATGAAAAAGGTGGAAAATAACTGGGATTTCTCTTAGAGTGAGCAGTGCAGAGGAGGACAGTGCCACTGTTGTGGAATCTTACGAGATACAGCTCATTTTGCTGGGTTCAAAAAGTTGCATCTGCCTTAAGTTTCCCCCTTATAGCATTACAGGTATAGTGGCCTTATACTCCTTACACCTGCCTTGGTGATATTTGCTTTCATTGTGGCTTTTGAAGTTGCCATTGTTCAGTGGTAGACCATTTGGTTTGCAGGTCCTAGGTTTACACCTGGTGTTAACGGATCTCCACTAGAAACATTCCAATAGAAGGCATGGGAAAGACCAGACTTTCTGGAGAGCTACTGCTAACTGGAGTACACGATACTGAGCTAGTTAGACCAATGGTATTGCTTGGTCTATGACTGGTTCAGATGATCATGTGTTTTCAGGTTCCTTTGTTTGTTTAGCACAAAAAACCCAACCCTGAAACTGTGGCCCATTCCTCACGATAGGCAATGTTTTGAATAGGTTTCACTTTGTACAATCCTCTTGACAACTGTGTCTAACGGTGACAAATCATCATTTGTGTTGTAAACTTGTATTGCTCATTAAACAGTTTTGACTGACAGTCTTGTTTACTATAACAGGAGGAGCAGCCTTTGCCAGTGCAGAGCAGAAGGTCTTCTCTCAGCCGCATGTGCTACTTGACAATGAGCCTGATGTTGTTGCTCCTTGGCTTAATTTTGACATCCATGTATGTCTACAGATACTTCTCCATTACTGGCTCATCTCCGGTACGTATAGTACAGCACGGAAATTTTTCTTGTATTCTCTAGCTTCACATATCACCTTGCAACATCAGCCATTTTATCTCATCTTCCATCTCATCTTGTTTGTTTGGTATAAACTTGTGAAGGTGGCTTTTCAGTCGCCCTCTTTTAAAAGGGTATCTTAGAGCTGGAAAGGGGGCAAAAAGGGAAAGGCAAAAAGATCAAGGGATTGGAGCTTGTTTCCTATGAAGATAGACTACAGAGTTTCATACTTTTTAGTTTAGAAAAAAGATTAGAGGGTAAAGACAAATGGTACGGGTTTATAAAAATGGTACACAATGTAACAGAAATGGACAGAGAAATTTCTCCCCCTGTCCTATAATGCTGGAGTCACACAATGTAGTTGATGGGCAGTGGCTTTGGGATAGACAAAAAGAAGTACTAGCTTTTTTGTGAAACGCATAATGAACTTGTGGAAGTCCCTGCCATAGCGGTGGCCACTGGCTTAGAATTAGGGAATAGACAGACTTATGGAGGATTACGCTATAAGTGGCTATTCACTGTGATGGATATCTCTATGTCCTCCATGTTCAGACGCAGTGGACTTGAGACTTTGTGCTCACTTTTCTCCCATTTGTCTGAAATTTCATCAGTCATTGTGCATGTGTTTCCACTCTGCAGCCTAAAAACATGCTGAGATTTTTAATATACTGAATTCTCTGCCCAATATCAAGTTGTGCCACACTGTCATGAAACAGAACTATTTCAAAAGGAGAAATCTAATAGCTAGGGATGGGCATGAACAGGCTCACAAACCTTTGCTCGGAACAAATTTTGGCCAGTTCGTGGTTTACAAACTGAAGCCCAACTATGAATGTCTACAAGCTTTAAATGGGGAGTTTAAACTCCTGCTATCTGCTCCCTGCAAAAGCCACCAAAACAGCTGAGCAGCAGGAGCAGGCAGCTCCCGGCCACTCAGCTGTTTAGATCAGAAACAGCTGAGCCTTGGGGGCAGCCTGCTCCTGCAGCTCAGCTGTTTTGGGCTCTAAACAGCTGAGCCTGCTCCCACAGCACAGCTGTTTAAAGGGGCTTTCTTGGGCAGCCAACCCCTGGGGCTCACTGCCCAAGAACGTCCCTTTAAACAGCTGAACCACATGGAGCAAACAGCCCCAGGGGCTGGATGCCCAAGAAAACGGCTGAGCCATGTGGAACAGTTTGCTTCACCTGGCTCAGCTGTTTAAATGGGCTTTCTTGGGTTCAGCTTCAAGCCATTTAAACCACTGCTTTCTGCTCCCTGCGGAAAGCCACGTAGATTAGAAAGCAGTGGTTTAAATGGCTCGCAGCCCTTTAAACCAAACAGCTGAGCAGCAAAGCTGGGAGTGCAGAAAGCAGGGGTCCTGAACCCATACAAACTGGTTTGTTTTGCGAATCAACCTCCCAGTTCAGAGGCCACAAACGGAACTTCAAAAATGTGATTCATGCCCATCCCTACTAATAGCTATCAAGGCCCATATGAACTACTATCATTAAAGCCTCCATTTCCACCCTATTTAGAATTAGTCCAGGCTGTTGTGTGTGTGTGTGGGGGGGTTGTTTCGGGGGTTGTTTTCATGGGCCCATTTCACTGAGGACATTTAGCTTTGTTCCTTTGAACAAAGAGGAGGCAGATGGGCAAGACAGGCGAAGACAGTTCTCACAGACACATGTTTCACAGTGAAACCTCACTGTTACACAATGAAGAGAGGTGTTTCTGTCTTAGTGTGAGGAGGAAAATTGTTGCTGTTCACCCTTTTCCCTGGCCCTGAGAAATGGAAGAAGGAAGGTAATAACCAGTAACCGACTGCTGAACAGAATAAGGGAAGAGACTGGCACACCTGCATTGGGAGCATCTTTTAAATGCAGTTGCTGTCTTCTGCAGTGCTGCAAGAGAGGATGATGGGGACAAAGCAAGACTGAACTGGCCACCCTGCCCATTGCCCCACCAGCTCCAGTGGGTACCACCCACCACTGGCTGCCTGCATATAGTCAAGAGCAAGTCTAGAAGGCCAGTAGATGGTGGTCCTCAGTAGGACAAACTGTATAGCATTGTTTGTGATGTTTTGAGCAGTCTTCATTTCTCCACCTGCACTAATGTGCTGCAGGTAAGAAGAGTGTGGGCCTGTAGTGATCTTGTGACATCACTTTATGCTAGTTCCACCAGTCAGTGCCATAGCTGGTAGTGAGGGTGACTTCAGTACAGAAAGCCGGAGAAAAAAACCCTGATTTTCCACGAAGTGGTCCTTGTTGCTTCCCTCCTCCTCCATTTTAGTAGGCTGAGAGTGCTGCCATCTTGATGTGCTCTTAGACTGCTACAGAGCTTTTCCTTTAGCCCTTGCAAGAAATACTGAAGTGATGCACGTTTTGGAGGACCTTCTATTTCTTTTTTGCAGACCGACTCAGAAAATCTCTTCCACTGTGGAGTTATCTATCAAGACCATTACTACTCAGAGTTAAGGGAACAGCTGGAATTGCATGAGGATGTGAGGATTTACCTGGAGGAGGACTACGAACAGATCAACATTCCAATGCCCCACTTTGGTGAAAGTGATCCTGCAGATATTATCCATGATTTTCAGCGGGTAAGAAATTAGGAACGGGGCATGGATTTTGTGGTTGCTGCAGGCAAAGGGCTGGAATGTGAAGAGTGTAACACAAGCAACACAGGCTTGGAGCAGGGAATGGGGTGTGGGGGGGGAAGAAGTGCACTTCCTCTTTCCATGCTGCCAAGCAATGTTCTAAACCAAACGTGCATGCTGGGCTTGTGCAAGTTCTTTTTCTGATGTTACACCCAAGGTGCAGGAAGGGAAGGGTTGTTCATAGTGCTTTGTCTCCTTCCTAAGAACATCCAAAGCCATTTTTAGAATCTTGGTTCAAGTGTCACTGCGAGCAGCAGTTAAACTTCAGTTGTTGGTGGGGTTGCATGCAGAAATTGGATCCCACAATTAGAGAACCAAGATCCAGTTCACTGGGTTTTACAATTACAGGAGGCTGACTATAGACAGGTCAGAGTTAGGAGCCATCCTCCAGGCTAAGTGAAGATGGAAGAAAGCATTTTTGCAGCAGGACTGACTTGCTCCTCAGGTAGTAGTGCCCCTCCTGAGCATTCCATCAGAGGTGCAGGAGAACAAATCTGTGCAGCCCATTTTCTCCCCAAGGAAAGATGCCTGTGAAAGATTGTACTGGATAGATGCCTTCCAGCAAATCAAGTGCTAATACCCAGTTTTAGATGAAGTTTTTTTTTTAATGTAATGTGTAACCTAGTGGTAACACCTTAATATATGTCTGAAAGGTCTAGGCATGATAAAATCAAGTTCTCCTTTTTTTCTTTCCAAAACTGAATATACCTTTGCTGTGTTTTTCTACTTGAGTCCATGAGTCTGTTTTGAATCCATTCTATGTGTTTTTGTTTCAGGGACTGACAGCATATCATGACATAGCCCTTGATAAATGCTATGTCATTGAGTTGAACACCACTATCGTCATGCCGCCACAGAGCTTCTGGGAGCTTCTCATTAATATGAAGGTAGATGGGAAAATGCTTCTTATGTTTGTTCAAATATTTTTAAACAACATGTCAGCTCATGTGCCCTTTCCTGAAGCAGAAATGGCAATCCCAACAAGCCACAGTTTGCTTTGACATCGAGATTGACAAACTGTGGTCTTGTTTTCTTGCTCACAAGCCAAGATTCAGCCATGCTTTGGAATCCTGTTTTTTAGTCAAGACAGAAAACAACAGTTGGTCATGGTGTCCAAACTGGACGTCACAATAAATTGTGGTTAGTTGTACTTAGTAACATCCAAGCCATGCACAAAGGGAGTTGGTTGGGAAGGTGCAAGCCCAAAGACTTTCCAGGGTCATTCCCTTAACAAAATGATATGAGTCCCAATATATGGGTTGGATCCAGCCAGCCTTTTTACTCAGACAGTCAGTTTACCTCCACACTATAGCCCCTGTCTCTCATGGCTTGTTTGCATGTAGGCTCCAAATTCATAGCTTAGCTCTTTTTTGGTGGCCAAAGAGGAGGACTCCTTCCCTTTTCACCAGTAGAAAAGACAGTTGGGTTCAACCCAGTGGTTGGAAGGTGCACAGTATAGCAGCCTTACTGAGGCTATGCAGGCCTGGATGTGGAATACAGCAGGCTTCTTTTGAAATTATTCTGTCAATTCTGTACCAAAGATTCCAGCTTTGGAAACCAAATTCTACTTTCAAAATGTGTCAGGCAAGCTGTGCCATAGTCATACTGTCCCTGTATGGACTAACCATCAGAGGAGGGATCCCTTTCCCTGAAGGGGAAGGTATGTGAGTGTACAAAGCATAGCACAGAGAGATGGTGAGTGGGAATCTGCTGCAGATCTGTTGCCCATTTCCTGCTTAGTGTATTTGTGCTTCTGGAGTTATGTAGCAAGTACATGCCTCTAGCTCTTCATCAACTTTGTACAGGTGTCCACTGCTTATTTCCTAACCACCCTAAAACTGTCTCATCTTTCTGACACTCCTTAAATGTTGCAATATCCCATTATGGTGAATCCCATTAATTTATTTGATGATTTTTGTTTGATGCCAGACACTCTCTTCCAGCTGCCATACCAAGTTATTTTGACATGTGCTGCACATTACATTTCATTCTTTGATCATGTTTTCATCTGTGGATTTCTTTTTCCCAAAGAAGTGAACCAGAAGTGCATGATAAAGCAAAGCACATTATTGCTCCATGAAACAGACAGTGCTGACGATTTAAGAACTCTTAACACCATTCAAAGCTGTTAGTGTTGAATGCTGGTGGAATGTTTTGCAGAAGATAATTGGCCTCAACTCTATGAAGACATGCCAGTATTGAAGCTGAGCACTGGGGTCATTTTTAATTCCTATGTAATCTTTTATCAAACTAATGCTGTGTTTGCTCAGAGTAACACAGAGGTGGTAAACTTGCATCACTATGATTCCTGTTTATAGAACGTCTCTTTAGTTTTGATATAAAGTTATTGACTACTTCTACCATGCTACTGTTGTAGTTAAGTATATCACAGTAATGTCTTAATCTTCTGTTAAAAAATGTACCCAGTGCAGTACAAAAATGACCCGTTTGGATGAACACCTCTACCTTCTCTGCTTGATTGAGGTCCATAATACAGCCACATGTAAATTTGCCTCCAATTTACCCCAAAAGCCCAGTCAGATTGAGCAGCGCACTTAAAGGCAAGCATATGGGGAGAAAGCGCTGTTTTGCTCTAATAGCCCGGCACCAAAAACATCTGCCCCGGCCAAGCACAGTCAATCTTTGCCCTCGGAAGTCCCCGGTTAGAACCGACCAACTTGCGAGCCTGCCGTTGAGCATCTCGGTTCCAGCAACAGAACTGAAGCATCAGGTCCAATTGCCTGCCCATTCAGCTGAACGCTGCACATCAGAACCCCCGCCTAAGAAAGCCCGTTCCAAAGCCAAACATAAGGAGAAGCATTGTTCCAATTCCAAGATGCTCCCTGAATCAATTAACTCTTCGGTTCCAGCCAAGCTGTCTTTGGTTCCACTGGAACGGGGGGAAATCTTGCCACCATGAACGCTTTCTCCACATGCCTCCCTGACTCATTCATTCTCAGAGGGGGACATAGAGCCTGGCCAGGGCGCATTGGTGGTTCCAGCAGCTAGTCGGCCATCGTGTTGTCTTAAAGAGGGTTGTCTTAACCTGACGCTGATTTTTAATCTCTGCTTTTTCTATATACACTTTTACTTAAGTTACTAATGAACGAGAAGGTACTGGTCTCTTTCCTATACATCAGAGGCAAAATGCATCCAGATCCTCAGCCATTGTTAACATAATGCATGTTGCTTGTAATTGTACAGTCATTCTTTTTCTCTGCTTCTTCAGCGCAGATGGATCGATAGTATAACTTTTATAGAACTGTCTGCAAAGCCAGCTTGTAGACCGAGACAGCAGTATTCTGCAAGAGTGTATTGATTTAGCCTGCCTCGCTGACACAACAGCATAACACTGTGTTAATACCTTGTTCCCTTTGAGTTTTCTAATATCTCAGGAGGTAATTGTTGAGCTAGGAAGTGGGGAGGCTGTTTTCATTTTATATTGTTCTGCTGGGATCCCAGTTGGCTCTTGCTGTTTTTGGTCTGCATTGTATAGGTCGATTTTGTACAGGGGGAGGGAGGAGAGTGTCGGGTAAGCAGGTGACCCTGTGGTGGAGCTGGTGGTTGCCTACATGGCCTGTTAGCTTGAGTCTATGGAGTGAAGATCTGACATGGCACTATACAGTGAACCTTTCCAGCCTATTCACTCTGATTACTCAGATGGGTCAACATGACAGTGGATAATGTGCATAAGGTTATTGTGTACTGTGCGTTGAATGTAAAAGACAGCTATACGTGAAAGCTGTCATTAAATCCTTGAGCTTAAGAGGCTTGAAACAAGCTACCTGTACTACCCAAATAATGTTAGTAAGGAGCACTTGAGATGAGAAAGCTGTTCCTCTTCCTGTAAGGGAGCAATCCTAAACCTAGGCTCTGAAGCTCTTAGGAGAGCAGCTATCCATTCACTGCTAACTCGGGGCATTGATCTTCAATATGGGATTGTCTGTAGGAGTTTCAAAAAGCCCCCTGATCACAACTGGTGTCTCCTAAGCCATGCAGCCTGCATAGAAAGAGGAATGAGGAAGAACGGTTGCTGGGGTAAAGAGGAGCAGATAGTTGTAATGCACTATCTGAATGCGGCTGAAGGATGGGTATGTGGGAGGTTGCGGAGCAAAATGATCAGCGTGCAATGTTCCCTCTAAGCTGTGGAGTCTTGTGAGCAAAAATTCTACTTTGTGAGCTACTGGCATTAAAGTTGTGAGCAGCTGATTTGGCTGCTGCATAAATTAGTTTGCTCTCGAGCCATCCTTCTTGAGCTATGAAAAAAATGTGTGAGCTGGAGGCTAAAAAAATATGAGCTAGCTCACACTAACTCAGCTTAGAGGGAACACTGGTGTGGACCAACCAGTCAGAAGGAGCAGCGCATGCCAAGGGGCTGAGTCTGTTGGTGGAAAACCTCTACTGTTGTCACTTCCGCACTGTCATTTTTGTCACTTGTTTGTCCCTATTGCTTCAGGGATTCCCCCCCGCAAATGTGTTTTTCTCTTTCTAGTGGTCCCAGAGGGAGCAAAACACATGTGGAAAAGGGGAGGGGGGAAGACCCAAAGCAATAGGGACAAAAGAGTGACAAAAATGACATTGCGGAAGGGATCATGTGTCTGGGACTTCTTCCTGTGCTGTCTGGTATCTAACCCCATGCAGGACTTGAACTGGGGCATCTGTAGGTGGTCTGCCTGTTTGTTCCCACTCTGTTAATCCTGTCTCTGCAGTTGCCCTTGGCCTAGCATGTGTATCAGACAGTCCTGAACTCCTTGGAGGAAGGGCAGGATTGAAATGTACTAAATAATGACATGATAAATATGTCTGTTTTTGACACCAGGGCCCCTGGGGGGGGTGTGATATGTCTTCTTCCTGTGCAGGCCCATTTGGGTGTTAAGGGGACTGCTTAGGAATTTGTGAGGTGCAGATTCCAGCCACGCCTCTTCCTTCTCTCCAGTTCCTGGCCAAAAGTTAAGCATTGCCTTCTTGCCGTCCTCCCACTCGGTGGGACCACATCTCATGTTTTCCACATAGCTGCTTTCCCCCCTCAGAGCTGTTTGGGGCCAGGAATGCATACGTGGCCTGTGCAGTTGTGTGTTCTGTTGTTACTGCCCAAGCATCTTCATCCCCCTTGCCCTGGCTCCTCAGCTCCCCCTTCCCTTCTCAAGACGTGACTCTCGGGTAGGAGAGATCTTGGGTTGTGGAGGCTTGTGGGTATTGTAGTTCACATGGCCATGGTTCCATCCCATGTGTCTGCCTGTCAAAAGGGGAACCTGATTGCAGGAAGCGAGTTAAGCCCATGTGTGCAGAGCTGTTTGATGTGTGTTCATTCTATGTCTCACCATGCTCAGTCTTACAGTGGAAGGTGCTTTTTCCTTCATGCGTTGTTCTCTGAGTGTGGGTGGTGCCTGGATGACATCTGAGAGACATTTTAGCATCGGCATGCATTGGTTGGCAGCTTCCATATGCAGCCGATCTGGCATCAATGTTAGGGTACTGGCGGCAGGGTGACTGTGACTCTGGTGCAGTTGTTGTACTCTTGCCTCCTTAGAGTTGGGTCTGTTTTGTAAATATTTTCCCTCTGCTGGGAGGGTATAGGATATGGACTAAGTATAAAATGGGATGTAATAGAGAGAAGAAACAAAACTTTATACAGTTCTGCTTAGAGCCTCTCACTTCCCGTTTGAAGACCCAGGAGACAAAATGTATAATTTAGCTCTGCAATGACAAAATACATTTCAAAGACAAATTTCTCTAAGAATTCTCACTACAGCACTGCAACATTTCCTGTTATTTTTATTAAGGTGATAGCACTCATATATGTGGTATATAGTAACAAAAGTAGAAGATGGGCCTGTGCCTCAGAAAACTTACTAAATTGGGGTAGAGAGAATGGCAACCACACTGATGAGTCAATGAAGAATGGCAGAAGGGGAGGACCACTCTGGGTCTAACCTTGTCTGTTCTTTCAAGTTAAAAAGATCAGGTATGTCAATTTGAGAGGAATTTTCCAATGTTAGCTTGCATTGAAAATAATGCCCAACAATCATTTATACCACTAAATTCAGGTATCCTGCTACTGTCCACTGGTTTTGCAATGTAATTCTTGGGTAATGAAGATAAATGGCGGGGTATAAATCCAATCTCCTCCTCCTTCTTTGCACGTTTTGGGACCAATGTTCCCTCTAAGCTGTGGAGTCTTGTGAGCAAAAATCATACTTTGTGAGCTCCTGGCATTAAAGTTGTGAGTGAGCGATTTGGCTGCTGCATAAATTAGTTTGCTCTGGAGCCATCCTTCCCTAGCTAAGGCAAAAATGTGTGAGCCGGAGGCTTAAAAATTGTGAGCTAGCTCACACTAACAGCTTAGAGGGAACACTGCTTGGGACTCTAGTAAATTATTTCAGAAGAGTGAAATTCCTGGCCATGTGGCACTCTTAAGAAATGGAAAATTTGTTTTTCTGACATTGAAATGCCTTCGATTTATCTTGATGAACTGGAAATTCTCAGGGTTCTGTGCATTTAATTCTGTGATTTCAGAAAGGGGTGTATCTGCCGCAGACCTACATAATCCAGGAGGAGATGATAGTCACGGAGCACGTCACTGACATGGACCAGCTTGGCTCCTTTATTTATCATCTGTGCCATGGCAAAGAGACATATAGGCTGAAGCGTAGAACTTCAAGGAGACGTAAGGACACATGTTGCTTTGCTTTATTTGTGTGTTTTGCTGCTGAATGATGCTATGGATTGAGAGACGCTTCTCCCTTATTTCAATACCACAATTGACTTCTGTGCTTTTGCAGAAGATGATAGTTTTGGAAGAAATGACAGATTTGGAAGGATGACAGTTTGGAAGAAATGTCACCCAATGGTGCAATTTTTTACAATGGCCTCTACTCAAGTGTCCATTCAGTGCCACATTTTAAAAAATTGGTAATAGGAGCCTCCAAATGGAATATTATTATAGTGGTTATTTTGTTATATGTTGCCACCTTAAAAAAAAAAAAAAAGCAATATTGCCCTGGTAAGGTGAATTCACCAGTTAAGTCTGGGGACCCTAGCCTTGTTAACCCTTTAAGCGCTTTTGGAATCTTGAGGACAGGTAGTGGGCACAACAACAAAATGGTGCCTGGGGGGGGGGGACCAGTCATAGATGGCTGCTACAGGGGCTGGGTCTAATAAAAAACATTAGGAAGTTCAGCACCAAGAATCCTTCTGTGATGGAGGCAACATTCCAAATGAGTGCTCCCTGCAAATGCAGATGCCTTCTGGGCTCTTCTGAACTACCTCCTACTCCATTGAGGTGGGGGAAAGCCAAGACTGGCTCTTTACTTTGGGGAAGAAGTACTTGGAATAAGCAGGTAGTTATGCCAGGAAACATATTGACAAGCACCATGTTGAGGTCACTGAATTAAGGCAGTCTTTTTTTTAATGGTAGATACTGAGAAATTGAAGACATCTAGGGAAATGATCATGCTAAACCCCTGCAATTGCCTTATACAGCATCAGACCATTGGACCAACTAGGCCAGTGTTGCCTACTCTGACCCCCAGGGGTCTCCTAGTTGCATGCAGAGATTTTTTTCTAGCCTTTCTAATGGGAACCAGGTGAGACTGTACATGGGGCCCACTGCATGCCAAGCATGATGTTTGTCACTGAATACAGCCCTGCCAACTGAGCATAGTCTATCAGGAAGTTCTCAAAAAACCAGCAACCCTGTTTAAATTGATTGGGAGTTCTTTGCTGTTGCAAAGTTCCCATTCAGTGTGGTAGGCTTTGTGTATGAGGAGGACCTCCCAGTGAATTGCACTTTACTGCTATAACAGTTGCCCTGCCAGAACCTCCCTTCTGAGCTAAGGCAGTCCAGTGATGTGGATGACTGATGGCTGATGCTTCACTAAATATGCCTCCTGGACTTGATACTCGGCTTGTAGAGATTTCATTCTCTAGTTAGCACTGCAAAGTTTTGTTTTTTACGGTTTCTTTTGGTGAGATAGTGAGTTGTCCTCCAGTCTTTCTAGCCAATGCTGAGATTTTTTTTAAAAGTTCAGAAAATCTGCTTACTTGGTTCTGACCAGGTTGAATATTTCATCTGCTGTTAACCTCTGTACCGTGCTAGGAACCCTGGGATTATATAAAGATTTTGCTAGCAAGTGAAAGAATTGGTATGTATTGTCAAAATGCTGCAACTGTTTATTACACAAGCTGCAGTGCCTGAGCAAAACAATTAATACTGAATCGGCAAAAAAGATCAAGTAAAGAAGAATAAAAAGCTGACTGCAGTTTGATGTAGTCTCTATCATCAGTTTTGAACTTCAGTGCACTGCACTTTTTGACTCACGCTGATTTGTAGAGGGTAATTGTTTCTTCTTCTCTGTAGCTCCCATCCACTGCCCATTATTTCCCACTGGATGGCTCAAAAGGATCCTTGTTCATCGAAAACTAAGTATGGAAATAGTTGGCAAACTGCCATCAGTGCTGACTGAAGGCAGCGATTTGCAAGACATTTTCATTCCCACTTTTAGATGAATAAGGAACCTGCTAAGCCAATGGTAGGAAATGGTGGGTGATGGATGAGAAACCCCCAGAGTAGGAGAAAGAGGAATAATTGCCCTCTGCAAATCCATACCAATACAGGTCTGACACATTGTCTCCATCAGCAACTTCCCCACTCAGTGTTAAAATTCTTTTAACTTTTTATTATTCATTTGCTTGATCTTTTAAAAGCTTTTTTGAATGGCACAAGGTTGACATTATTTATTGTTACTAGGACAGTACTTCCATATGTTGTAACCTCCTTTTGCTGATGCAGATTGTTTTGGTTGGAGAACAGATTTTGAGATTTGTGTTTTTATAAAATGCAATAAGTTGGTTGTATTGCATTGCCTGGTGCATCTGGAACGTTTTCATATTTTTGTTTCCAGATGCTTGAACTGGCCATATTTCTTCTTCTTAAAACATTTCATGTGACAACAAAGTTAACCTGGATTTTCTTTCTGGTCCCATTTTCCAGATATCCATCGACGTGCAGCAGAGAACTGTCATCACATTCGCCATTTTGAAAACACCTTTGTGGTTGACACTGCAATTTGTCAGAAGCTGTGAGAACCACTTGCCAGATGTAACCTTGCTGGGCTTTGCTTGTACTCATCCATGCAGGCTTTCTTTTCTGGAGAGAGAATTTGGCTTATTTTTCGTCTTGCTCCCATTGCTTGTGCATTACTAACTTCTCAGGTCACATGTTATCGAACACTGATCTTTGGTGTCTCTATATTGCATTTGCTTCTTAGATTTTGCTTAAATTTCACAGTTACCCCAAAATGTGACTGGGGAGGGAAGGGGAAGGTTCCTTGTGAAAATTGGTCCAGTAGTCTCTTCTGGGAGTGTGCAGCATTCTCTGAGACATCTAAGTATGGAACCACAGAAGACTCTTAATACGAATGGTTGGCCATTTGTTAACTTCGGGGAGAAAGAAGTTAAGTGACAGTGGAAACTTCTGAATGCATTTAGCTTTCCAGGGCCATTATTTTGTTGTGTTACCTCAGTGTGGAGATCCCTTTCCTCTGTCTCAACCTGTTGTTAACAGAAAATTCACCATAAAATTGCTTCTCTGAAAAGGAGTGAAAGATGCACTAGAAAGACTTTTGGCAGCCCACTGTAGAAGTTCACAGACCTGTGAGCCTGGTTTATTCTAGGTATATTGTTCTGCAAGGCAGAATATGTGGCTTTTGTTGTACTAGCTTGCAATTAAGGATGTCATTTGTCTGCAGTAGCCACAGCCCCAAGATGCAAGGTACGTGTGCTTGTGATAATCCAGGTTTGTTCTGGAAGCTGTTGCTGGCAAAGGGATCTTAAAGCTGGCTCCTTTCCTCCTAGCAGTCTGTGAAGACAGTCCTGATCTTGAGCATGTGAACCTTGAATCTCAGTATCATCCCTGTTGGCTCTATGCATTAAGTTCCCTAGGGAACGTAATGGGGTCCGTGAGGGTCTAATAGAGAAAAAGACCTGGAGCCTAACAAAAACAAAGGAAGGGTGGCAAACCAGCTGCGTGCAGTTAATTAGCCAATGTCTGATGATGTCCTTGTGCTGAATGATGCACCATTTTTGCACTTTTACTGCACTTCCAGTACAGGTTAATGGGCCAAAATGGACTAGTTTGATAATCTGACTCTTCTAGGTTTGCTACCTAGCCGACGTGCCTCTGTTTGTAGCACACATGATAACATAAGGAGCTGTGCTTTCTTTAGCGCGATCTAGTCCAGCATTCTCCTTTGCGGTAGTTTTTAAGTGGATCAAGCACGGCCTTTGTCGCGGCTGTGGACACATACTCAGTTCTGTGCCCCTTTATTTGCAGGTGAAACATGGACTGTTTCTCATTTTACTTTTGAAGAGATGAGTACTAAACAGTTGTTTTATCAGCCAAAAGCTTGGACCAACTGTTTGGCTTATTTGAAAGTTTGGGGGCAGTATTTCAGAAAGCTGTTTAGCATTCAGTGGCTGAAGGTGATGGGAGGCTGCAGTGACAATAGTCAGCTTGACACTTGTCTCTCTCATTCTCCCTGCCCAAGGGCAGCTTGGGATAGTCGGGGAAGTGATGAGGGGGTCCCCCTGTGAAATCTGACAAACATGAGCGATAACCATCACTACTTGGCTAGAGTCTTCATGCTGCATCATCAGACTTCAGTGTTTGGCCTGGACTGTATTCCCTACACATAAAAATCAGCTGCACACTCAGGAGGAAAGAATAGCTCCCTGTTTCTCTTCACACTTTACCCCAGTTAAATCTCTAAACATGAGAATTTGAACAGATCGTGATCAAGATGCCTAGAATCCTGTGCTTTTAGCAAGAATTTACAACTGTTGCCATGCAGTAATGCACTGACACAGTTACCTTAACAGAACCTTAGGTGGTTTTGGTTCCAGATTAATTTTGGCAGGAGCCAAGGAATGGCAGCTGAGATGCATGTAACATGGAGGCCTCCAGCTGAGTAGAGTGCAGGGGATGTGAGATGCATCGAACAGAACACACCTAGGCATTCCTTAGCATGCCTTGCAGATACATGGGACCTTCAAAAACAGGTGATGTGTCTTTTCTTTTTGCTGTTGGCAGTTGAGGATATGAACTCCATACTGGTCCCATTGAGTTGTGAGAGATCTCCATTGGGTGGCCTTGGGCCAGTCACTCTCTCAGCTTAACCTACAGCACAAGGTTGTTGTGGGGATAAAATGAAGGAGAGGAGAATGATGTAAGCCACTAAGTCCCCATTGGGTAGAAAGGTGGGGTAAAAGATGAGGTGAAAAAATTGAAAATCGATTTTCTTTGTTTGACAGCATATCTAGTTGATCTCTACTCATTCAGAAAAGCGTGGCACTTTAGAAAGGAAGAGAAAAAGCTAAATGCCTGTGTGTACAATCATAAATGCAACGGAGCTAAATTTTAAACGTAATTGAGACAACTTTGTAGTATAAACAGGGTTTTCTGGGGGGTGGGGAGAAGGAGAGAGGAGAAGCAGTATACATACTGGTCTGCTATATGACAAAGGTAGGGTGGGCTTCCCCAACTCAAATGAATCTCTGCATTAAGCGCCAGATTGCCTTTGAATTGTTGTAATGTGGGAGCTGAGAGCAGAACTAGCCCTAAACACCCTTCCTTGGGCAGAGTCTCATTGCTCTCTTCCTGTTGGCTTAGGCTCTGGGGTGTGCCTGGGTCACACCTTAGGATGGAGCCTCCTCCAGAGTATGGTTTAGGTGGCAGGGATGGTTTACGGTAGTGCAAGGAAATAGCACGTCCTATGCTTAGCAATAATTGCTTCAGACTGGTAGGTTTGCTTATTGCATTTGCTTCTGTACCAATCCATGCCTTCAGCTCGGAAACACAACCTTTTTTTTTGTTTTTTGTTCTGCATGTTCTTAAATTGGTCATGAATCTTCAGTTTCTGTAAAACCTGAATCACGAAGACAACTAAAGTTGATTCAGTGAGTCAGAACATCAGTACTCGGGGTGGGTGGGGGGGGAGGACCCTTAACTGCTTTATATATTTTGTCTGTTTTAAAAAAAACTTACCTTTTTTGGAGGGGGGGAATGAAAATTAAATATTTTACTTCTGGTTTAAAGTGTCTGTCTCTTCATTTGTGTTTTATGTAGATAATCTATAAATATATCGTTTCTAAGAAATTCTAATTTGATATCTGGGGCAACATTTTTTTCAGTAACGATCATTTTTCTCTCTCAGTTATAGAGGTTGTGAGTAATGTTAATTCTGATGTCCTGGATCCTTTACTCCGCTGCAGGTGCTCATCTCCTCTGCCTCTAGCACCTCTGTATGAGTTAAGGTATCCTTGAAAAAGGTGGATCAGGGGCAGAGGAAGCAAGCACCTGTGGCAGAGGTAAGCATCCACAGCGACCAAAGAGAAGCATGAGGGGAACAATATTGCAGGATGCAAGACATTGTTTTTAATTCCCCACCACCACCAGTTCTCATCACTTTCCTAGTATGCGGCACTAGAAAATAAATACAACTAGAGGGTAATTGGTGATTGCCCCCCCCCCCACTGTCATCACTGATCAGTAGTAGTCAGTAATGGTGGCTTAGCAGTAGAATATTTCTCAAGTTACAGTCATTGGACTGCCCAGTATCTTCTTTAGTACCTAGTGAATTCCTTCTTATTCCATTCCCTCCATAAAAGTGCTTAACAGCAAAAGCCACCAGAAAATAAGATCAATAACTCATTGTATGCCTTCAAGAAAAATCCTCTGAGATACAATTGTCCTAACAACCGCTTATAAAAGCCATGTAAGAAGACCATTCAAGGGAGTGAAGGTTATCACCAAAAAGGCCATTGATCAAGCCAAGGATATCTCCACAGTCTTGTAAGACGGAATGTCTAGCAAGCAAGAGCCGCTGTGAGGACTGAACTCTGCATATCCTCCTCGCAAGCCCAGCTTTCTGTGTCCCCAAGGGCACAACTGAGGTGGATAGCAACTAGATATGGTGATTTTTCAGTGGTGGCACCTCACCCTTCCTCTTGAGGCTTGCCTGGCACCTGCTCTACTCTTAGGAGCCAGTTCGCCAGCAAGGCGGGAAACAAATTGAAAATAATAAATAAATAATAGGTGCTATACAAAAGTATTCCTTTTAACCCCAGCTTTTTCAAGCGGGTGATGTTTTTACTTTGTTTTTTCAGTCTGTATGTAGCTAGGAGGCTGTTTTAAGAAACTTGTCCTAAGCTCTGAAATGTTTTGTGGTGTTTTTGCTCCTTGCTTGTTTTCCTAATGCCGTTTGTTAATATTTTGTTATTTTATGCTGTTTTATGTTTTTATCATGAGTGCTTTCTATTTTTGTTCAGTTGAGTTTGTGTGCTAGGAAAAGCTGCTACTGAAAGCAAGAAAACAAGAAGCGCTGGGCTCATTGGATTCAGTTGCCAGGCAACCTCTTGTGGGGTTGCTGACGATGTTTATGCAGGGAGGAACTGAAGCAAAGCACAGGTGCTTAATTTTATAATTTCGTCATTGTCAGACACTGACTTAGTATTCAGCACAAAGTGTCGTCTGTGAACAGCGTAACACAAAGCCAACCAATTAAAAATAGATTTCCTAGTAGGGGTAATTCACCACAGGGCAATGGAGTCATATTGAACCATTCCTGCCGCCTAATCCCTAATCCAATATACTGCTCCGAAGGAGCAAAGTTAATGAAATTTAATGTAAATAGAGTTGTTTCAGACAAGCCAGAGTCACATGCTGGCCATTCATAAACTTAACACACAGCAGCTGAATCCACGTGGAGATCCAGTCATCTGACCAGTCATCTGCCCCCTTTCTTGGGAAAATTGGATTTGGCTGTTGAGAGCGTGTCTTTGAAACCAGTGTTGGCAACTCTAGTTTAGGAAGTTCCTGGAGATTGGGGGGGGTGCCTGGGAAGGGTGGAGCTTGGGGAGGGAATTCTGTGGGAATATGATGCCATAGAGCAAGAGTCCCTCGCACTGTGCCTGTGGGTGGCATGGTGCCCATGACACCTTTCCTGGTTTTCAGGAAGTGGGCAGGGCTTTTGTCCAGCAGGCTTCTGGTTGGTCATTGGAGATCTACTGGGCTGTGCAGATTTTTTAAAACATTGGTTCTGTAGCTCCACCATAGTATCAGGATCTTCACTGCATGACTAAAGGTAAACTGTGTGTATGCATTTTAAAATCTGCATGATCTTTGGTCATTGTCTTCTGTGGCAGCTGTTTTATAGTTGTACCTGCCACCCTGTGTCGGAACTCCGAAGGTGCCTGCAGGCTCAGAAGGGTCTGTCCTACGAAGCTGCCACGTCCTCCAGATGAAGTGGTCTCGGTAGTCTAGAGATCAGTTATAATTCCAGGAATCTTCTAGGCCCCAACCCTGAGGCTGTTTACTCCATGTGTAACCTCACAGCCCAGCCATTGTAAGCTGCTATGCAAAGAATTACTCTTGAAGCTGGTCTGGACTGTGGACTCTTCATCCAGTATACAAGGGTGGCCCACCTGCCAGCTGCTACAGGGCACTTGACCATGTTCAACTTATTACAGCAGTGAATGCACTGAAGTGGAACTGGGTAGTCAATGGCTGCAATAGGCTACTTTCTATATAACATAATTTATTATGTAATAGCATGTACAAAGTAAGTGTAACATGACATTTTTTGGCAATAAAAGGCAAGTCCCTGTCCTGAGGAACTTACTCAGTGTTTCCTCTAAGCTCCACAGTGTTGTAAGCAGAAATTCTACTTTGTGAGCGAAAAAAAGCTAGTAGCATTAAAACCGTGTACATCTGTCTATCGTGTATATTAGTTTTTTAGGAGATTACTTCCATAACTTTGTAAAAATCTCAGAATAATTTAAACATAAGAGAAAACAGAACCAAGTCAAATTTCACCCACCCACCCCTTTCCACTATAGTGGTAGACCTAGCCTCTACCCACCCCAGCCCACTATATTAGCAGACCTGGCCTCCAGAGAACAGGTCTATCCACCCTTCCCCCCCCCCCATATTGGTAGACCAGGGGGTCTGATTCTATGGGCCCCAGAAGGAGGTGCCCCATCCTCCATTGTTTCCAATCTGAGCAGAAGCTCTCAACCCCTAAGCTGCCTGTTAAAACTTTGTGCGCCACTGTCCCCTAGTGCAGCTTAGAGGGAACTGTGCTTACAGTCTAATATTTGAAATGGGGAACGCACTACAGACAGGAAAGGAAGATGGACATGAGCCTACACAGGAAAAATACGCATTCAGTTCATCACACATACATAGTTTCATTAGGGGATAAAGACAAAGGACTGTGCAGTCTTCATATCTATCTCTCTCCCAAGTGTGCCCCCTATCTGTGGGTATCTAAATCCACAGATGGGGGCACGCCTGCCCTAAACAGGTGTTTCGGCAAATGGGGGACCCCAAAGGTTTGCACAAAAATCTGACACAAACAAACCCCACATTGGGTTTCTCCCCTGAATAAAAAAGAGTGAGAGGCAGAAAAGTAGGGAGAGGGGAGGAAACAAAGGGGACTTGTTAGGTTATATTTTATCAGTGCAGGGTACTCCGGATGCCAAGTAGCCTTCTCTTCCATGATTCTGTCCCTGCAGTAAAGTTAATTGTGAAACTCAGAAACTGGTCTGAAACATAAAATCACAAACAGCCATGCTATTTTTTTTTACCGTTGCAGCACACATATGCTCACTGTGGGTGAAGGAACTGCTGTATTCAGTATGATTATATCATCTCTCATTCCCTTTGATGTGGCTGTAAAGATCAAGAGCCAGATGTAATACTCCCACAGAGTATTTCTGTGCCACACTGTATGTTTTGGAATGCCCCCACAATACCTTACATGGCTAACTGTGACAGATTCCTTCACATAGTGTGTTTGTGGTATTAAACTGACTGGGACCACTGAAGAAGGCCTTTGTGGCCGAAACACATCGAGTTGGATTTCACTGGTTTATTGTTTCCAATCAGTGCTACTAAGAGTATACTCCATTGTATGTAGTGTGTACTGCATACTGTGTGATGTGCATGGCCTAAAGGCCTGTTTCATTTTTAAAGAACTATTTAAGTGCATTGTAACAATAAAGATAGAGGCCTTTTTCAAACTGCCTATGTATTCCATTTTAGTAACCAGCTGCTAGCAGAATTTATTTACCTGTGCATACAAACCTGCATGCATCAGGTTAGCAAATCCTTGTT